GGGTAACACCCCCCCCATACCCCCCCCCCCCTCAAGTTTCGCCCCTGCATTCATAACCAAAGACACAACCGAAAATGCTAGACTTGTAAATATACTGGTCTTCGGATTGACATAAAACAAACCTGTAATACACACGTAAAAACGCACAAGTTGTTACATGTGTGCAAACAAGTTGTTACAAATCTGTTCACAAGCTGTCAACAAGTTAAGTTGTCTTCGCACTGCTTGTTCCCAGTTGTTGTAACAAGCTGTTAACAACTTGTGACAAGCTTGATGGCATTATCAGACTTGTCACAAGGTTGTTCTAACAAGTCTGATACAGTCATGATATAACAAGAATGTTACAAGGTTGACGGCACAAGTTTGTAACAATACTGCTATATCATGACTCTATCGGACTTGTTGGAACAACCTGTAACAAGCCTGATAATATCAACAAGGTTGTTACAAATTGTTAATAGCTTGTTCCAAACTTGATGTTTGTAATGTTACTCTGAGTGTATATCCATACCGGGCGAGCTTGAAAAATATGTCCGGCCACGGTGGGAATCGAACCTACGACCTTTGGAATACTAGCTTGTTGACAACTTGAGACAAGTAGTGCGAACACAACTTGTTGACAGCTTGTTGGCGGACTTGCTAAGTACAAGATGTGAGATTTTTACGTATGTAGCAGACGACTTTCGGCGCAATCTCATAATTTTAGACATAATTAAGTTTTTGCATAATTGTCACCTGTTAAGCAACTTGACCTGGCAGCCGAAAGCTTCTGTGACTGTGAATAATAAAAAATATTCATAGTCAATAAACACTACAAAATCTCATTACCAGCTATTGTATTTGGAGCGTGTTTGCTCCAAAATGGCTGCCATATCTTTGTCCAACCTTGCTTCCAGGCTCTTACCTGTTGGAGAAAAGACCCGGGTGGGAGCTGGTCACGTGATCTGCTAAAATCTAGCAAATTTCTAATGGACCATTTGCTTATAGACTAAATTTTGATCTAAACAAGTCTAGACAAAAATTTCATCACAGCTTGAAAGAGCATCACAAAATTAGTAATATTCCAAAGTTTCGTTGCGAAATGTTGTAAAATGCGGATAATATAGCCTTGCGAAGTTTGCCGTTTTTCAGTCATTCTGCATTACGCGGGGGAAATTGACAGCCCAATACCCTTTGGCGCTGTCAATTTCCCGTTCAGGGGCGGATTCAGACAGGTTTGACAGGTTTATATAAACCTGTCAGATTTTCCAAAGAGAGAAAAAACCTTCCATGTATATAACTAATTTAAAGAATATTCTGTTTCATAAAATTGATGTTGTCTAATCTATTACGCCACTTAATAAACACTGTTGTTGAAATTTGCTTATGGGTTACCGAGCGTATAATTAAGGACTTATCGCCCTGGTTTCCTCTTACGAAATGTTGTAATACTAGACTAATAATCTGCTAATATATCGTCGTGGGTCGTGGACTTGTAAACATCGCATGAATCACACATAACCGCCCGCAATTATGAGTAAACCGGTGGTCAGAGTTTTCTCCATGAGAGTAAACCGGTCGATACGCCATTCGATTGGCTAAACGGCTGTGCTCCGGCGGATGTAAACCGGTCATAAACCTGTGAGTCGAGCAGTATTTAGAGAAAACTGGGCATGAATGTTAACAGAACTCGAGGACGCGCGAAATATGTTTATAATTTTGCGTGACTGAATCTTTGCGTTGGCGATAGAAGCATTTACATGGATTTCTTGTTCATTTTGAAGGTTTGTTTAGAAGTATATAGTCTAAAGTTATAACGGTAAGCTATTTCTACTTACTGTATAGTAAATATCTATTCATCAACAAGCGTATGGCGTTTGTAATACAAAATGACTGAAAAAACGGCAAACTTCGCAAGGCTATAGTCCGCATTTGTCCGCATTTTACAACATTTCGCAACGAAACTTTGCCGGAATATTACTAATTTTGTGATGCTCTTTCAAGCTGTGATGAAATTTTTGTCTAGACTTGTTTAGATCAAAATTTAGTCTATAATGCAAATGGTCCATTAACTATCTTGGATTTCTTTAAAATCAAATAGAACTTGCAAAACAAAATGCAAGTTTTAAAATAAACTATGAATATCAAATATTTGTCAATATCATCATTATCAATTAAAATTTAAAATCTGTTCGATTTTAGCAGATCATGTGAACAGATACTACCAGGGTCTTTCCTTCACTACTGGTAAGAGCCTGAGAACGAAGTTGATCTCTGTTTTATAAATCTCAGGGCAACGATTGCGACACACCGATAATTTCATGCTTTCGTGCAGTTCTATGATGTAATATTCCGGTGCAATTTTTTCCCATGTTATACAAACACAACCTCTGACAAAGCCTAAGGGGCTGGTTACATTACACGAGTTTACAGCCCAGGCTGAATTTCAATTCAGTTAACCGAACTGAAATTTCAACCCAGTCAACACGGCAAAATTCAGCCCGGGCTGAGTTAGAATTTCAGTTCAAACCGGGTAAATCTCAGTCCGGGCTTAAATTCACGTTTTCAATGTAAAAGTATTCGAGACGATGACAGCGTAGTGATCACAACGTGATTAACTTGACAAAATTCCGTCGTGGAATCGTCGACTACGCTTTGGAATTACACAAGACTTAGACGCACTAGTTACCAAGCTTTTCTAACGCGTCTTCTCTAGCCGCGTCGTGAACACTGAATGTGAACACTTTCGTATGAAAAACGCATATTGCTTTGTTTTTCTCACATGACTACACTGGACACCTGGTCATGGACATGAAGTATATATTGATCCAGTCCTAGAACTGGACTCCTGAAAATTAATTCAACTCACTTTAAAGGGAAATGGCAATATATTTTTTTATTTTCTCGTTTGAAAGAACATTAAAAAGCATATATAGAACTCTTTTACCGTTTTTTCATATCTTGCTTTCTTCTACAAATATTTTAATCGAAAGAAATGAAATGTCCGCCATCTTGGATTTTTGTAGATATGCATGTTACGTCACAACAGGGGTCACGGAATATTTCTATCTAGACAACCACTAATCATTTTGCACTAAAAATTATACTCTGTATGCCCTTCGAAATATCAAGATCACTTGAAACCTTTAAAACATCTGCCAATCAATATTTGGTCAGCAACGAATACTTTTATATGGTTAATCCCTGTTGTGACATCACCAAAACTACCGTTAATGAGATCATAAATTTATCCAAGATGGCCGACATCTCATTACTTCAAGTGAAAATATTTCAAGAACTAAGCAAGATATGAAGAATCGGTAAAAGAAGTTATTAAATAGTTTCAAAAGTTCTTGCAAACGAGAAAATAAAAAAATATATTGCCATTTCCCTTTAAGTAGCGATTTATTCGTATGAGATGTCATTTCAAATCCTCCAGTTCGGACTAGACTCAGTATAGATTTCAAGTCCTCGCATTTTGAACCAGTCCTCGGTTTCGCCGATCTGACTAAATCAAATTGCGCCGACTTGAAATCTAGTCCAGATTTCACATCACTATAAATCACGGCCCGCGCAACACAAAATACAGCCTTTGCTCCTTTTAAGAGTCCTTCTAGTATGAAGACGCTTCATTTTTCTTAACCAGTGGAAGCTATTGAGAGTCTGTATTACAATTATTCCTTGAAATTTATGGAGCAAAATACTTAAATACGTAACGCAAATATATGGCCTTTCAAAATACATTATCTTGTATAATTATATAATCTATTTTCCGCTCCTTGCGCGAACTTTTTCCAGTGTAGGCCAATTGCAATCCGTAAGAGAAAGCAAACTAGTAAGGAGATATTTATACCATATAGCCTACATAAGAACGCATAAACGCATTGCGCATCTAAACCAGAAGCATCTTTTGGCGCATCTAAGCCAAAATTGCATTGTGAATTAGCTACATGTACACCTCGAGCGGTATACAGCGGTATCCTGTAGTGTTAACTCTGTCAACAATCAAGCCATTTATTTGTACTAAACTGTACCTAAAATATCATATAACATATGTAAGTTAATATTCGGACTGAAATTAAACTTATTACATGTTTGATCTCACACTGTGTTTGAGCAGTTTCTCCTGGATTGATGACATCGCATAGCGTTAATTGTTGGTGGGTAAGCTGCACCCGCTTCCTGAAAAATGCAAACTCAGTTTGCAAATCCCGCTGGTTTTCAAAACGTGCGGCTCGTCATGAAAATTAATTCAACTCACTTTAAGAGTGATTTATTCGCATGAGATGTCATTTCAAATCCTCCAATTCGGACTAAACTAAAGATTTCAAGTCCTCGCATTTTGAACCAGTCTTCGGTTTCGCCTCGAACTAAATCAAATTCCCGGACTTGAAATCTAGTCCAGTCCTCATAGGCGGATTTGAAATATATTACACTTCATTTAAACCGAAAATTCAATATAGCCTACTCATGCGAGCAAGTTCATAATTAAGATAAAAATAGCTGAATTTTCACACATATACCTTTACGGTCACAATGCAGCCAGCCCCATTGAAATTTCTCCCTTGGTCGAATAATTTCTAATTCCAGCATCAGCTTATCAAAGCAAATGAAATAATCGTCATCAAGGCGAAGAAAGTATTGAAAGTCGTATCTTTCCTTCGCCCATTGCAACATCCAAAGATATTTTACGGCAAAATTAACCCCACCGGGAACTTCAGTTAGTAGAAGATCTTCATGAACACGTCTCTCGTTTTCAAGTTTAATTCTTTTCTCTCCTTGCAACGCTTGTCCATTTGGCTCTTGTCCGTCGGTGAAGAAACGACAAACAGCATTAGAATTCGATTGACATTCTTTCATCCATGTTTCACGCATGGCATTTCTCCGATCAAGACGTGACGGAGCGCTGTGTATGCCAACGAATAATAACAGTTCTATTTTCCCCGACGACGATATCCTTGGCTTTAAATGTTTCCGCGTAGCACTATGTCTTTTTAAATACATATATATTTCCGTTTCAGTCGACGTATGGTAGCTATAGATTACAAAAATTGAGAACATAAACGGTATTGACATTAAGGCGACGAATTCTTTAACAGTTTTCCTTGAACGAAACATTTTGCGGAACAGGCAAGTTTTGGCAGCGCTTATCTTGAATACACGCTAAACTCAAGCAGATCTTTATCTTCTTTCGAGCCACACAAATTATTAGCTGTTAATATACAGTACAGCTGCGCAATTACGTTAAATAAACAGATGGCTTTACAATGACTTTCACGTGCTAATGAGCGTCTTCTCCTGAAAGCATTAAATAAGAAAAATATAACAGATATACACTTGTAATGCATGGTCATGTGTTGAATTGTTGGAGAGTTTCAGATTTAGGACTCGGCAAATCCGAACGACATGCACGCCTTCAAAACAAATAAATAATTCTTCATGCAAAACAAAAAGTGTGAATAATTTGTGGTCCCATGTAGGAGAATCCTCAACAGCTAGGGCTGTCGTTCTGGGGCTGGTTGTTCAAAGCTGGGTTAGCTTCCTGACAGCTTGTAAACGTTGAGTGAAAATGGGCCTTAATACGACCATATGAAAACCAGGCTTTATAAGATTTGCACGTCTTAAGGCCTAATTCCACGACGAGCGAAATGCGAAAAATTTCGCTCGCAAAGGTTGAATGCTGCATGCGCAACATGATTTTGGAATGTTTCTCTGCGAAATATTTCTCTACGCCGGGTAGTTGAATTCGTTTCTACTCCGTAGCGAAACCAATCAAATGCTTGTGTTTTGGATGACAAAATAGCGAAACCAATCAAATGCTTGTGTTTTGGCGAATTTTTTCTCTGCAGTGGAAATCACTTTGAGAGAAAATTTTCGCACAACTGTGTTTTCGCGCGAAATATTTCGCATTTCACTCGTCGTGGAATTAGGCCTTTAGAGCAACGTGAAAGAGTTAGATGTATTACATCAGATCAGCCCTATATATAGAAAACATTATATCGTTTCTCCTGAACTGAGATGTTTGTATAACTTTATTTTAAAAAGTTTCAAAGTATACTTGAGAGTTAATTGAGAGAGCATCGTCGAGTTTGACCGTTCCTCGCGCGATAATTGGGGGAGGGTGTATACAGTATTCATATATTCGTGTTCTGCCCGACGGATTTCTTTTGAAAGTGATTGTTTTTACGGTATGTGAACATGAACATATGAATATACACCTGCATGCACGCAAATAATCGCGTCTAACTCGTCTAGGAGCGGGACTGCCGCGTCGTAGATCGTATAAACTCTCTATTCTCCAAATTAACAACTGGAGATAACTAACAAATGATAGGTCTATAGCTATTTATTATATCAAATTCGATTACATAATTTCTCTGTATACGTCACATTATATAAGTGGTTGTTATATATTTGTATGTTTATATATATACCAAATATGTATTTAGAATCACATATGCATGAGTAGAGTGCTCGATATACCGAAGTATATAGAGCTAATAAAGACAAAATAAAATAAACCTGGTTTAAATAAATAAACCTGTAGTGAATAAAATCTTATGAAGTAAACCAGGTTTATTTTATTTTGTGTTTCTATATATATAGGCTATATATATTTATATAGTCGTTTTACCTCGAAATCTTGCAGCCACGATAGCCTGTTTTATCCAAGAGGGATCATCAACCACCTGCATGTTTCTTCTTGGATAAACATGCAGGTTGTTGTGGCAACGTTTTGAGGTAAATTACTATTTCTGCTCTATCTATATGATATATATATATATATATATATATATATATATATATATATATATATATATATATATATATATATATATATATATATATATATATATATATATATATATATATATATACTGGTATAATATATAATATAATATGTACTGCGACCTTGCATATGCTAAGTACTTATATAAGCTTGTTCAAATCTATAAAAATCAATATGCTATAAAACATTCTGCTATATGACAAATTTAATAGTATATTGTAGTCTAATTCTTATAAGAACCCAAATGTATCTACAACATTGGTATTCACTTCTATAATAAGAACAATTTCTCTTCTTTTTCTCTCTTGTAAA